CAGTGGCCACTCTGTTTAAGTGCTCATTGTGCAATTGGAGTGAATGATGACAAAGTTTGGCTAATGTCAGTGGCCAAGTCATTTTATCGATTTGATTGCTTTGTGTCTCCTCAATGGCTGATGATTTCTAATGGGCATTATTATGTAATGAAGTTCATATTTCACACCTATTTTTCCTATACCCACTTATATATCTCTATCCCAGTCCTTATTTCTGATTTTCTAATTCATTGTCTTCTAGTCTCCTGATCAGCCAACCAGCCTATTCACCACTACTTATAAATCCATAGATTTTCCTACTTCAGATGACTTCTACGCAAAGCGGATGGCCAGGAGCATCACTCATTTTCACCCATCTGTAATCTTTTCTCTCACCACTGTCTTTCAAGGCCATGCCTGACGTTATAGTGTAGCCATATCTATTTTCAACTTGCATGCACTTACTGAGCCATCCCATTTATAAGCCATGCTTTTTTCCTCTCCTCCTTCAGCTGGTCACAAGAGGCCCCTCACACAGGCACAGGTGTGAGCTTAGGAGGGAAACTGAGGGAACCATAGTGATGCTATAAGGCTCTGGCTTACTTGTTTATGGAGCTCACTTGTGTCTTCTAATACTACTTCAGTACAATCCCAAATATTTTATTTCTATCTTACAATGGATTGCTCCGGGGTGCCCATTTTTAAAAATATATTGATGGGTGTGACAGAACCCACTCATTATGGAAGTCCCAGATGTGTGGTCACTTGGTATCCAGTTAAATGTTCCTTTCTCTGCTAGAGCCCAGGACATGCCAAGAACTGTTTGTCACAAGACAGTAATTTTTACTCTACATGGAGTCGCCTTGCTCCAGAACCCCAGAGGCCAATATTATAATTGTCCATTTAGGGCTTTCCATAAATGTTACTATTTTTCCCATTATTGACACCTCCAACACCGTAAATCCTGCTGAGTAGTATGCATACCTTCTTTCATTTTATTTATCTAACTGCATCTTTTGCAGACATCTTTTCTATACTGGAGAATCCTTAAATGTGGCAGTTTTTTTTCCATTATTTGGTTGGTACTTGGGTCATAGTAGAATTCATAGGAATATAACAGTGGTTCTTTTTTTTTTTAACTTCTACGTGTTAATATTCTTTTTTATTGTATTTTTAAAGGAAACATCGGTTTTCAGCACTGTCCAGGATTCAGAGGCATAGGTTCACACCTCTTCCAGTGTAGGCTACCACATAACGACGTTTCTAAACAAAGGATGATTTTGCTCCTCAGTAGCCATTTGGCAAAGTTTGAAATCATTTTTTATTTTCATGACTGGAGTAGGGAGAGTGCTATCAGCATCAATTTGGGTAGAGGCTAGGATAGTATTTCCTACAATACACAAGACATCGCCCTACACAAAAAATTATCTGGACTAAAAAGCCAACAGTGCTAAGATTGAGAAAACCTGTTGTATAACCACCTTTAGAACCCCGAGAGACCTACAGGCACTGTGTCTCCTTATGGTAGAGTATGCAAGTTCCAGCATTTCTCTTTGGAGGGGATATCCTGGTATGTTCCTGATCACTGGATCTCTAAAAACTCTACAAAAGTGGCAGCTACCTTTATAGGATTTATCTACCTCCTCTTTGGTATATCATCTTATCAAGGACGCCAGCATACTAATTATCTCTAAGTTAATCTACCTAATTGGCAACACATCAATCTAGTGGATAAAAGGGATGTTTTATGAGATTTCCAGACACTCAAGAGATCTACCTTCAAAATGCATTGTAGGGCCTCCCCGGTGGCGCAGCAGGTTGAGCACTGCGCTGTGAAGCTGTCCACAGCCTCTGCAGCACAGGTTCGATTCCCGGTCAGCAGGAAGCAACCCACATGGCGAGGCAGATCTCTCCTGTCTTGCCCACTGCTCCCCTCAGCAGTGTATTTCAGTCCTTCTGCCTGTTCTGCTCCCCACTCTGCCTTTGGTGAATCCTCTCACCTTCCGCATCTCTGGCCTGCAATCTAGCTCTTGTATGCATAAATAAATAAACCTTTAAAAAAATATATCAGGTCTAACATTGTATCTATTATTAGGACTACTGATGATTGAACTTCTACTAGTCTAGTCATTTTCCTGGGTCTAGAGACAACCACCATTTGTATGTTTAAGGGTGACACTAATCTTACTTCCACCCTGTGATGGGCTAACGTAACTGGTTTACTGTTGTGGCTGGAGGTTGAAGATAAGTTTCATAGGCTTTGTTTGGCTTTCCTCATTATGTAGCTCTTACTCCACAGGCCAAGAACCAAGCAACGGTTACTCAACCCACTCCAAATGTCAATCACAATTACACACTTAGGAGTGGCCAAATAACCATGAGTGCCCTGTGGAACCAGTAGAATAACTATAAGCTGGACTTTGGACAGAATTCCATTTATTACATGGCCCCCATTTTAACAATGGGGTGATGCTGATTTTGGGGGTCTCTAGATATCAAACATCAACTCAAAGAGGGTCCCATACGGCGGGCAGACTTCTCCTGCTGCCCGCTGCTCCCCTCAGCAGTGTACTTTGGTCCTTCTGCCTGCTCTGCCCCCCCCCACCCCCCCCAGCTCTGGCTCTGGTGAATTCTCTCACACTTCTGACTGTACACAGTGCATGTATAAACAAAACAAATAAATAAATAAAAACATGCCTCTATTAAAAAAAAAAAAAAACTCAATGGCAAAGCCATGGAGATCTATGTGTAAACTATGTCACAAATTCAATTATAAATTAAAAACCCATGATTTTCCCCCTACTCTTTTCATGCATGTTTTGAAACATTGTGTTTGGGGAATTTTGTTTCCAAGTTTCAAACATATTGGCACTCAAGTTGTTTACAGTACCATCTTTTTCCTTTTGATCTTTCTGTATTCTGATATATTTTGGTGAGGTTCTTATACTTTTTTTAAAAAAAAATAAAAGTATTTATTTAGAATATTTGAAAATTCAAAGTATTTATGTTTGGGTCTAAATTTATATTTTCTTCTATTGTCTGTGTCATTTCCTTTTCAATTAAGCCTTTATTATTCTTGTCCTACTGGTTACCCACTGTTATAAATAAATCTGGGTTTATCCAGATATTTTTCACTCTCTCCTACATAATCAGTATTCATTTAGAGGTTTTTTTTCCTGCAGCTTTTAGTATAAGAGGTACTCTTTTAAAGATCTTTTTCCTGTTTTTTAACATTGCCTGCTTTCTAAGAGCTTTATGGTACTTAATTGTTGGTTTCCTTTTCTTGCTTGTTTGGGATTTATTCATAAATCTTGAATGGATTCCCAGTGGGAAAAAAGCTGGGAAGACTAAATGATAACCATCATCATCTTTTTTAAAATTTCATTTTGACATATGCCTTTTGACTCAATCTATCATAAATTATTCTATATGGATGAAATCTGAGGATTTAATATTACCAACAATTGAAGAGATCAATCAACTATTGTCAAACTGGTCAGTTTCCTGCCTCATTTTTTGTAAACGTGGTTTTGTTGAAAAGCAGTCATAATCCTTCATTTCATTGTGATGGCTTGCTGGCATTACAAGTGTAGAGTTAAGTGGTGCCAGAGCTCACATGGTCTGCAATATCTAAGATAAACATTTACTATTTATTGTTTACTATTTTGTTCTTTCGTAGAACAAAAGACCTACATCATGAAAAGAACTGAAGATTTCAAACTTACAACCATCATTTTGTAGTTAAATAACTAAAGTATTTTAGTTTCTATTTTAAAAGTATACTGCTCATAATATTGTAGTTTTCTCTCTGCAGCCAGGACATTCAGCAACTATACCTCTGCCTACCAACAAAAATGACAAATCTGGAAATTTCCAAGAAGTTAATCTGAGACTATAGTCTCTTATGGTAGCTAGGGAATTTTTAAGTATCTTTTCATCTACACATTAAAAATAACCAAAATCATATACAAATGGAATCATATTTACAGGATGATGATGTTCGCTGTAGTATGCACTACTTCTAATTTTAACCATTTCAGGGTATTTAATGTAAGTCAGCTTCCTTGAACTCCTGCAAAGACATTTTTTTTGGATAAAGTGAGATATTAGAAAACAGGGCAACTAAAGGGCTCCAAATTTAAAACTGGTAAGATATTTAAAAATCTGTTGAATACCTAGAAAATATTAAATGATTAGGACAAGTTCAAGAAAAAAATTGAGTAAGTACAGGTACATAATTAAAGTTTGGATGAATAATTCAGTTGTTAGATCTACTTATATTGGAATGAGATTATAATGCAAATCTTGAAGAAATAGATACTGAGATTCAAGAGCCATTATTAAATTGTTCAGAGTAATTTATGCCATTTGAGGCAAATAAAACTGAACAGAAAATTTGCATTACGGAGATAAACAAGTTATTGTTTCTGAACTACAATTTCCTTGACAACTACTCAGTCAAATGCATATATTGCAAGTCTTACTGATTCCTAACTATTGGTAAAACGAGTAAGCCAGAACTTGCAGGACTATTGATTGAACAGTTTAGTTTTACTCTTACTATTAAAACAGTGATAACTGAAATCTTAACTGTATTATTGATTGGCTTTTTACTGCCTGCAAAATTTCTATAGAAGACTTGTATTAAACTTTTAAGACTTGAACAAGTGTGAATCCTCTCCCCCAACTAATTTCTTGGGGTACAGGGTGGGCAGACAGGAATCATGTTTACAGGATGATGCTCAATTGAATAGCAAATATCCCCAAAGTTCATGAATTAATATATCTTAATTGTTTTTAAAAAATGGTAATTGGATCACATTTAATGACTGGATATTGGATATATTAATGCTTGTACAGTCTTCTCAAGTACAGATGCTATAAGAAAATTTCTTAAAGAGTAGTTTCTTACCTTATTAAATCTTAGAAAATTTTATTTTCGGACAATTGATAAATTGAAAAGGCTGCGAGAACTTCAGAAGTTCAAATACAGTAAAAAAATTAAATTAAACATGACCCTAAGTATAGAAACAAATTAGAAATTGCTCATCCTACAAATTAAAAGTACTTAATTAAAAATGACTAAAGATTAACACATACAAAGATTTAAGTCAATCAGACCTCACAGAATCTGACAAAATAAATACCAATAATTTGGCTTAATAACCATAAACCATGGGAGAAAACAAAAATACTATTTTCTCCAATGCTAGCAGCTTTGCTATAAAGTAGAATAGGCTTCAACATATTTCTAGTGGTTCAAAAGAATGCCTTTCCACTCCAAAATTGAGATCCAGTTAACAAGTATCTGAGTTATGCAATCTTGTTTTTGTGAACATTATTAAACTGAACTATTCTCTATAGACACATCCAGAATGAATTTTGGCTCTCCCATCATGATACGGTCAAAGCTCAATACACCTCCTTAAAAAAACTTTCATCCTATTGAGGTAAATTTTATTTTCCAATTTTATGCAAAAAAAGCTGATTTTTACCAATGAGATGGTAAAATTAGAGGCAACTATAACTTAAAATTGCACAGCTTCTTAATGTTTTATTCATAGCACTCTTTATACAGCAGAAGCTTCACTGTTAATTTACCGCAGCATCCTGTAGGTGAAGCACAAAATTACATTAATTATAAACAAAGCACTTTTGACTTTTTAAAATTATATATATTTATATCCAGTTGACAAATTAGCATCACAATTATTACTGTATAAAAAACTAAAAATCACCATGGAAGCTAAGGCCTAAGTTCTTATTCCAATTGTTTCTTTTTTATATCTATGATATCAGAAGTTAAATTCCATTACCTCAAAAAAGGTCTACATTATTTACATAGAGTATGGAAAATAAAAGCTGCTTTTCAGTTAGGTTGCTGTTACCTACAGTATTTACATTGTAAATGTTAGGGGGAAAAAGCACTTTTCCAACAAATGCCATTTCAAACGGAAATATATTGTGCCTGGAATTTTGTCCTTAAATTGAATATCCTAGTAAGTATTTCTTGAATAAAAATTGACTTTCAATAAATCTACTGAAAATTTGAGAGTACCATTAAGTATGCTTCTTCATATTGCTAATCTATTGATAGTGTTAAGTACAATATTGTAAAAACTGTAAGCACTGAAGCTTAAATGAAACAATGGCAACATGTGAATATGTGCGTAGATGGAATTTTATTTAAAATTATAAAATATAATGCCTTAATGTTTACCCATAATTATGAGACTAATATTTTTTCATCATTTAAGAAGTCTCATATGTCCCTAAACAGTGAAACCTTCCAGTAACTTACCAGAAAAAATTTAATTATATTATTCTGTTCTTAGAATTATTTTTCTAATATTTAAAAACAGCTAACCCCTTGGCAAAAACAAATGTAATCAATTCAGTGTAACAGACTGAACTACTGTACTTTAATTTTCAATTAAGGTAACCTACTGGTTAACTGAACCAGATGTAGAAATATTTAAGTGACCCACTAAGAAGCTTGTCAAATCAATTATAGAATGCACAATGTGGAGATAAGTTTTGGAGGTGTAAGGTAGCTAATGTGGAAAATGGTAAATGCTAGTTTTAATAACAAAAATGGTACTAAATGTACAAGAAAGTTAAATTAACATAGTATAAAAGAGAATAGCTTAAATAAACTGGGATTCACATATTACAACAGCAAAGTTATGACCGAATGAACTGAAGACATGAACAGTTCTGAAAATTCTCTTTTCAGTCTAGTTCCAAAAGAAATAGTCAGGCTTTTTTCCTGTACATAGTTTTGAGCTTTGTCTATACCATATATAGTAGAAAAATAAATTCTTTAGCAACCTAGAAACAGTTTATAAAACTCTTAAAGTTTAATTTTCTTTGCCAGACATGCCAATGTTAAACTGACAGCTATAAATTAAAGCTATATAGACAATAGGTATAATATAGAACAAGTTAAGAATACTACATTTACCGGATTTTTCTTTTTAAAAATTACTGTACTTTCTTAATTCCTGTGTGCTTTGCAATAGGAATAATAGGGATTTTGTTTTCTTAGAAAAGATAATAACATGTAAGAGTATAACACAAATAAGATAATTTATAATATACATGTACTTCAAACAGCAGCCTGGTTCATGTCAACATCTTGATTCTGAAGTTAAAATTAGAAGTACAATACCTAGGACATACCATAACTGTTGGGAAAGACAATATTTATTATAGGAAATAATGGAGCAAATCAAACTCTTAGGAGCCTCAAATCTCAAAATTATCTATTTACTATAATACACATAAGACAACCTTAAAATTGCAGTATGAAGATTACAATATGGACCACAGAACCTTTTCTTTACTAACACAAAAGATAACCTAGAAATAAAAGGAATGCCATTTCCTTCATCTCCAGAAAAAAATGGCATAGTTTGATAATGAATGGATTTTGAATGAAATCTAACTAAATTTACTGATGCCACCTATTCTGAAAATTTTTCACCCATAATTTAATGTTCTGGTTCTATCTTCACTAACAAAATGCTTAACCCCAAAAGCAGCAGTCATTTACAGCAAATCTGGTACCAACATCAAAGGAAAAAATTTGTTTTAAAAAATGGTGCAAAAGCCAGTTTGGATTTAGTACAACATATCACAGAAAAGAGTATGAATACAAGTTTGTAATTTATACATACACACTTCAAAGAGGCTGTCAGTACCCAAAGTATTTTTATTGCTATATTAGCAATGGATTTTTGGATATAGTTTTAAGGGCCACATAAAAATAGATTCAAGGAACAGATTAAATTGAAATCCTAGATTAAAATGTTTGGTTTAAAGAATTTTCTACAACAAATTTTATGTTTATGTATGAAAAGTTATATAACCTTATATGAAAATGTCATGAAGTATTTTCTACACTATACTAAATGTATTTCCCAAGAGGGAAAAAATTAAAATATCTAAAATATATTAGATTAAGAATACAAGACCATCAAAGATCTCTTGAACATGCATCTGTTTACAGAATTAACAGTATACAAGATGTTTATTTCATTATGGACCATAAAGAAATGAGTTGGTGACGACTATCCTTTGCACAACACTATCAACTCACTTTAGCCACAAGCATGTCGTTGGTATGTGTGTACAAGAAATATGTTTATTTACCCCTCTCATCAAATCATCCACAGGTTTACTTAGAATATGATGGTGCAGAAATATGTTAAGTGTTTATTTCCTTTCTTTCAAACAACATCCCAAGCATGGCATAAGTAGCCTGAAATTAAAAAATACTTAACTGGGCTTTTAGTTGTCTATACAGAGTGCTAAAGTGTAAATTAAGTTGCCCAAATTAGCACATCAAATAACAAAACCAGCCATAAAGCAGGCTGAAAAGCATTAAATGTTTCATATGTGAGTTTTTAAATCATTTAATTTCTATAGAAAAATTTTATTCACAATATAATGTGACAGAAAATGCCACAGGAATGATATACTGATTGCAATAAGGTTGCATGCAACAGCAGCTTTGTATTTTATAGCTATTTTTGTTTATAAAAATTAAACCTCTCCAGTCATGCTTATCACATGGTTTTAGATTTTGAATGTAAATGAGTTAGGAATACCATACAGTTCAAAGAGAAAATGTCTCATCATTTTGAATGTGAATTATCTGTAAGAAACATGAAGTATACTACTGAACCCTGAATCATGCATGTCTAGATTTGACTTTTATCCAATTTTGGGCTATTTGCAATCAATTCCTAGTTATATAATACCAAGAGGATCTGTCTGTAATTGTGGTTGTATCAACTGAGGTTGCAATGGTGGTGGTAACTGAAGCGGTACCATTGGTTCCACCAACTGTCCCGGGTTTGAAGGTGGTGGAGGAGCCACTGTGTTTGCAGTTTCTACAATTTCTCCGTTGTAAAAGAAAAACTGACACTGTTGAATGAATGTTTCAACGACAGACTGATGGATCTTAGTGGTAGACAGAAACTCTCGATTTTCAAAGTCAGGTCTCATCAAGGTTGGCCAAAAACAGATGGACAAGTTGTCAGCTGTCATAAGGTTGATTTTATTTTGCTGACTAACCCTGAAGTACAAGGAAAAAACAATTAGAAATCAATCAAAACATTACAACGAAAGAATCTTAGAGCTGGAAATTATCTCAGATGATTTACTTTTACCTTTTATCTTAGTCTCAAATTTAAAAAACATTTTTCTTCTTGTGCATTTTATGTTCAACTACATTCTAATAAGAGACAACAGTAAAATCTATTCCTTATGAGAACCAAAGACAGTCTTTTTAAAATATACCCAGGGGTTTTATAATTTACTTACAAAAGCCTCCTTAATTTGTGTGGGAAAAACCCTTTCTCTGAAAGTAAAAAGACCAAATGATGAATTTTAATGATTTTCTGGTAATAGAAATAAAATTCTAATTGCCTATCAAAATTTCCTGACTATTGTGTGAGACGAAAAGACAAACTAAAGTAAATAAATAATTAAAAAACAAGACCAAACCAAAAAGACCCAAGAGTAGAGGCAGCAGGTCTGTTGAGTCAAAAAAGGAAAGATACCCAGTCAGAGATGGGGTAACCACAAAACAAGCTTGCTTTAAGTAGTAATGTCTAAGTTGAGTCAAGGTTGATAAGTATTGGTAAAATGGTAGGAAGGGAGGTTAATTCAGTCAAAATTGTGGTTCTCAACCTCAGTGTATTTCGGAATTTCCTAGAGGGCTTGTTAAAACAAAGACTGATGATTATGTTTGGCGTGGGGCAAAGATAATCTGCATTCCTAACAAGTCCCCCAGGTGATTCTGATACTGCTGGCTTGAGGACTGCATTTTGAGAAAAACTAGATGCACTTATAAGATGTGATGAAGGATGAGGCATAAACTGATACTTCAAGTGCTATTAGTTTCATAGTGTAGCACTTATTTGTTGTATGCTTGGATGAAATGAAAAAGAGTAACTGAAGAAGTCAAAACTAGAGCCCTGAATGTTAAAACAGTCTGAATTTTATTTTCAGGATATAAGGTATTATTTAGGAAAGTTTTTTTATAGAAAGATCTTTGAGAAATATCATTCTGGCATCAGGATGGAAAGGGGATGACGAGTAAACAATGGCAGGGAGAGAGGTCAATTACAAAGACATCAGATTTCCCTAAATGAGAAATGGTACAACCTGAGCAGTGGCAAAATTAAGAATTGGGAAACAAGAGGAAAAAATTTGACACCATAACTCACTTAATATGGAAGGTGAAAGAATATAAGCAACAAATAACTCCCAGGGTTAGTTTTTTATGTACATTTTACATTTATTTATCACTTTATCTCCTGTATTATAAGGTTCCACATAACAGGTGACTGTTTTATTCACTGCTATATCCTCAGTATTATGAGTACCCAGTATTCACAGTACCCATTATTGTCTAGTTGAACATTCCTTTTAAAATGTAAGTTTGATGTTATTTCTCTGTTCTCCAGTGGCTCTCCCTGCCATTCAGAGTAACAGACAGAATATATAAATCATACAACGCTTTTTTCATTGAGAAAGTCTTGTTCCCTAAATCCCATAAATGTCAACTTACTCAACAATGTGCTTAGTGACTTGTAATTTATAGATTATATTCTGAAGCAACGTTCCCCACCTTGTCAGTTAAACTTTTACGACAAAAGCTAGTCAACAGGCTAAACTCAGAGTACACTTTCCTCCCCTTTCTCACCTTAGTCTATCCATCATATACTCCGCTTAAATCACACAGGCTTCTCTTTGCTGTTCTCAACACATCAAATGTTTTTTTGCCAGTGTTGCTAACTGTTGTAGTACCATAGTCAAACACAATGTCTAAACGAATATCTATGGTAGATCTGAGGCATACAGCAGGGGAGGAGAAGGGTTAGGGGTCAAAACAGGGCGCGAAGAGCACAAGGGACTGTGGCGATAGTGCACAGGTGCTGTTCGTGGTGGGAGAACTATGGCGACTACACATGAAGGGAAAAATCTAATACTGTCCAAAAAATTAACAACGTAAGAAAAGAGAAAAAAATTATAAATGTTTTAATGTCAAAAACAGGGTCTAAAAAATATCTGGTAGACCAGCACTGTTAATTCTTTAAATATGCTCTTCCTTTTGTCTTTTTCCTATTCCTTTTAATGAATTTCAATTTTTGCTGTAGCACTTTTTTTTATTTTTTATAAATTTATTTATGTATTTATACAAGCACTGGGTACATTCAGAGCGCGGGAGGGTGAGAGAATTCATCAGAGCCAGAGGGAAGAGTAGAGCAGGCAGATTGACAAGGTACACTGCTGAGGGGAGCAGCAGGTGGCAGGAGAGGTCTGCACGCCATGTGGGACCCTCGCCTGACAGCCTGGAACGAACCAGCGCTGTGGAGGCTGCGGGGACCCTCGCAACCCAGCACTCAACCGCTGCACCACTGGGGAGGCCCAGCACTTTAATTAGGCAAGACAATGTATGTTCATAAACCATGCCTACATTCCATATAGGGTGAAGTCTCCTATAGTATCCTATGCACACCTATTATGATTCCATAAGCCACTTGAATGGTAATTTCTGAAAGGAAAAATTCCACTAATTATGGTGAAAATACAAGGTATACAGGTATTTTTGCAGGGAGGGAGACTTCAGAGGAGGATTACTAGAAATACTAATATAATTATAGGGCAATTAATACAAAGATTAATGTTCTGCATTTCAGGTAAAATGGTAGATAGTAATATAAATTCAAGTTTCTGATAACATTTCACTGTGGAATATCCAACAAAACATGTAAGATACACAAAGTCAATAGTGTGATAGAAAAAAAATGGAAGCTTTTAATAAGACTTATGTTCTAGTCATAATATGTTACATTAATTATGTGACATTGGATATATATAATTTACTTCTTTAAACCTCAATTCTTCCAATTTCAACAGGTTGGATTTGGTTAATTACCTGTCATTTCATACCTAAAATTTTAAGTCTATAAAGGAGTTGTTAAAAAAAAGTGATAAAAAAGAAAATTTACCACATTTTAATATAATCATAGTATAATTTAATATAATCATTACATGTACTAAGAGTAATATAACTTTCTGTAAAACTATTTGATGAAAAATCCATTTTAAAAATCAAAAAGACACTTTTTTTAAAGATAACCAAAAATTAAAATACCTGTTTAGATGTGTTATTACATATCTGAATACATCATAGTTTACAGGAGGAAATTTCTTAACAATTTCTTTCAATGCATGAAGACGCTCTGTTTTATCCGGGATTTCTGTAAAAATTAACAAGGAATTTGTGTGAAGCTTATTTATTTAAAAATATTTGATAAAGCCTACTGTTATGCTTATTGTAAGGGACAATGAAGAATGTATTTAAAATATATTAGGAGGTAAAGAACCTGCTAAAAACATCATCTAATACAATAACCTCTCGTAAGTAAAGCTAACCATTGAAAGATCAAAGTGATTCAGAGATGATAAAACGTGAAATGGTGTATTAGTAACATAATCAAGCAATTTATCTAACTAGATATTGATTTAGGATTTACTAACATTGATTTAGAACTTACTAACACTTATATGTAGACTCTTAATAGCCAAGCTACCGAGAGAAATTATTTTAGCCTTTGTTGGCACAACTACTCAATTCTGAAGTTGTAACAAATGAACATAGTTGTGCTCCAAATAAAACATTCAAATCTGAATATCATGTCATTTTAAATGAAATTTAAAATTTAATTCTTTTCACCATTATCTACTTGCAAGCCACCCAAAAAGTAGTGGCAGGCTGAAATGAACCTTTAGGACATAGTTTGTCAACATCTGATTTAAAAGGTCACCCAATACTTATTTAGAATCCATGTTGTTTATCAAAAATCTTTCTTCATTAGTGGTACTAGCATTTAACTCAGTTACTCTCCAAATATATGCAAATTATGGAAACAGGACAACAATATGATCCTACCATAAATGGGAGACAAGAGAGTGCTACTGCTCCTCCTCATTCATTCCTTTTTCCCAACAGTTAACAATGTGCTCTTTTAGACTAGGCCAACATGCATACCGATTTAAGTAGTATAACCAAGAACTAAGAGATTCTGGTTTGCCAGATATTATTTCTAAATCAGTCTTCAAAAACTTCCTATGTGAGAAAGTTCTGAAGCTATTGTTTACGGTCAAGAAGAAAATCAAAGCTACCAACTGAACCATTTGCCCACTTTACATGAGAGTGTGTGTGTAAGGCAACTAAACATCTTGTAAAAGTATACTGAAATGATTTCTAATAAAAGAAAATTAAGAATTTTAACACACTCAAAATTAGAAGTAGTTCCACTTTAATATTCTGAAGACTAGTAATCAAAAGAAAATAGAAATTTAGAAATTACATTTATTTTAAACATTGAGAACACAATGTGGATTAAGCACTAAGTTACCTGATATTCAAATAGACCTTTTGTCTTATTTTTCAGAAATAACAAATATTCCTTTTATAATAAATGCATTTGGATGAATTATGCTGAAGGAGGAGTAAATATTAAGTACTATTTGACTGCTTTACTTTTTCAAAAACTGGCTTAAGGCATGACACCAAAGTTAATCTGACTTAAATTATCATCATTCCCCTCAAAGGAAAAAAAAAAGCTTTATACTTACTTGCTGCTTCCAATAGCTCTGGATGAAGAGAATATGGAATTAAAGGATCTGGCAAATCTGCAAAGAAAGCTTTAAGAGCTCCTGCTACAGCATTTACTGTTACTTCCATCGATACTAGACTGATAGCATGATCTACAAGACAAAAATTAAAATTTTAATTTATATGTATATAATAATTTTAATTTATTACAGGAGAAGTAAGCTAGGCAGGTATTTGTAGGTCCAAAGATTTTTTTTTTTAGATTTATTTATTTATGCATTCAAGAACTGGGGTACAGGTTAGAGGTGTGGGGGGGTGAGAGGTTGCACCAGAGACAGAGTGGGGGGCAGAACAGGCAGACTGACTGAAATACAATGCTGAGGGGAGAAGAGGAGAGGCAGGAGAGGTCTGCTGTGCCATGTGGGCTGCAGAGCCTGCAGATAGCTTCATGTGCTGTGCTTTAACCCCTTGTGCCACCAGGGAGGCCCAGGTCCAAAGATCTTTATTTAAATCTTCTCGTCAGCCTCCTTTCTTTATATTAATCCTTCCCCCATTGTTTTAATATGTTTGTTTAACAAACTATGAAGATGAGGAAGAGAATCAAGCAATAAGCATGTTAAATTACAATAAAAAATTGTTATATTTATTAAAATAGTAATCATAAGTTTTATGTTATCTACCTCCTTTTAAAATATTTTGTTTTTGATAGAGCTTCCATATGATCCAGCAATTCCATTCCTAGGTATTTACCCAAAGGACACAGAAACATCAATTCCAAAGAGCACCTCTGCACCCCTATGTTTATAGCAGCACTATTTACAATAGCTAAGCTTTGGAAACAGCCCAGATGCCCAAAAATAGATGACTGGATCAAGAAGATATGGTACATATATACCATGGAATACTACTCAGCATTTAAAAAAGATAAACACATGTAATTTGCAGCAACATGGATGGCGCTGGAAGGGATCATGCTCAGCAAAATAAGCCAGAAAGAAAAAGAAAAATACTGGATGGTCTCACTCATAGCAGGAATCTAGAAAACTTAAATAAGGGACCAGGAAAATGAATAACTGTAAGAAAGTGAAAATCAAAATCAACAAAAATCTATGAACCAGAGACACTTTTGGGGGGGTGGGGGCAGGAGGGGAGGGACTGGGGTCAGAATGGGGGGGTTGAAATTGTATGGGGAATATAAAAATAAAATTAAAAAAAAAAAATAAAATAAAATATTTTGTTTTTGGGCCTCTCCGGTGGCGTAGCGGTTGAGCGCTGGGTTGCAAAGCTGCCTACAGCCTCTGCAGCGCCGGTTCGATCCCCGGCTGCTCCCCGGCCACCTGAGGAGGGTCCCACATGGCGCGCAGACCTCTCCTGCCGCCCGCTGCTCCCCTCAGCAGTGTACCTCAGTCCTTCTGCCTGTTCTGCTTCCTGCTCTGGCTCTGGTGAATTCTCTCATCCTCCCGTGCTTCTGACTGTACCCAGTGCTTGTATAAATAAATAAATAAATCTTTAAAAATAAAATAAAATATTTTGCTTTTTAAAATTATTTGAGAGGCCAAAGACTAAAAAATTGTAAATAAGATTGCGTTTAGATCTTTTAATTTATACTTATAATTTTAATATAAAACAGTATGAATTTAAAGTTATCAGTGAAGTTCTAACTTAAAAAGCAAGAATGGGACATACTAAGGAGCTATCATTAGTTTTAATTACAATAAAATTCACCCTTTCCTTATATATGAATGATTGCTTATGACAGAAAATAGAAAAACAGACCAATAGAAAAAAAAAAAATACCCCCATCACCCTCTGTTTATACTTTAAGAATGTTTTCGTTCAGTTCTTTTCTGCTCATTTAAGAAAAATGATAAATCATAAATACATTTTATATTGGACTTCATTTTGGGGGCATTATTCAAGGTAATTAAAATTTCACAACCAATTTCTAAAAACATTTTTTTGGGGACAGTAACTTTAAATTTCAAACATGCTGAATATATGCTAAGAAGCCAACATATATCCCTAACCCAGAATCACCAAGTTAATATTTTACCCTATGTAAACAATTTTAATAGCTACAAAATATTGTTGCAGGTAGAATTTACATAATATTCTATTACTGAACATTAAGATGGATTTCATTTAAAAATATCATAAAGATGCTGATAAACACTTCTGTACTAAACTTTTACTTTCTTGTAATAAGAGCTACCCAGCAAACATTTAATATGGTGCCTGGCCAGAAAACTCTTCATGTGCACTCACATTAGTCCTAACAGTCTTATATCCCAATTCTAGATATGGAAAAGTTGAGACTTAGAAGATTAACCTCCCTAGGGCACCAAAACTAAGTGGGAGAACTAGAAAACAAAACCAAGGAGTCTAATTGAAGAGGCTGGTATTGACTACCATTACCCTTCCACCCCTTCGTTACTGGAGTGAAAGTGTACCATTTTGATATTATAAAGTCTAAATAGTTTTTCTAACAAGATATGTATTTTTTTTTAAAGATTTATTTATTTATGCATGCAAGAACTGGGATGCAGGACAGAGGTGTGGGTGGTGAGAGGATTCACCAAAGACAGAGTGGGGAGCAGAACAGGTGGATCCACCAAAGAAACACACTGCTGAGGGAGGCAGCGTGTGTGACAGGAGAGGTCTGTTGTGCCACGTGGGTTACCTTCCTGGTGATACTTACTTTTGTAAATGAAATACTATACAATTATATAGTATATAGTAAGGCATACCTACACACAAGTAGTACTTCCCAAAGCATACCTACAACCAACAGTTTACAAATATATTCATTTGCCTATATACTACCACAAAGATATTTTTCACTCAGATGATAAACAGTAAGTTTTTGTTTTAAATTTTTATTTCTTTGTCATTGATAGAAATTGAGCACATTTTCATGTATTTGTCAGTCATTTTCTTCTGATGTGAATTTCTTAATCTAACACAAGTATTTTACAATCTTCCCAGGCTTACAGTTTGCCTCCTCATTTTGTTTCATCTACTATCATACAAGGGCATTACATTTTTAGGGAGTCTACTTCATCCATTTGTCTATGCTCTCTAGGTTTCACATCGAGCTTAGGCCTTTTCATAATCTAAGATTATAAAAATATTCACTCATTTTACACTCTAGCACTTACTTTTTTTTTAACACTTAAAACTTTGATCTCATATAGAAGGTTCCTTTAATATGAGTAGGGAATATAACACTGGTCCAATGTTACTAATAACAAAAAAAAATTTTTTTAAATTGCATCTTTAAACAGGTGCCACCTCTGATATTCAAAAATGTTAATGCATTTCATAAGTCAATTTATTTCTTTCTAATTTTGGTATGGATTTATAGTTTCCTGCTTGACTATGGTATCTACTTATTCACTTTTAATTCCACCCAAAACTCTCTCCTGTCAATATTTAATATCCTTAGGTTTTCATAAAAAAAAAAAAAAAAAAAAAATCGATCTTACCAATATCCCTAGCTTTTCATATAAAAATCAGTCTTACCAGCAGGAAACTTTAAAAAGAAAAACAATGATTTTATTTTATATAATAATCTTACCTTGATCAAACTGCTTCTGAATATTGTCTTGATCAGTTTTGTTTCCACTAACACGGTAGAGTCCTTCAGTACATAATCCTGAAATAATAAAGAAACAGACACATTTTTACATATACATATATATCAACAATAAATATGTTTAATCTTAGTACACTGCATGGCTTACAAAAATATAGTGGTAAGATATTTTAAGAATGTCTTTGCGCATCTCATTTTAAATATAAATTCTTATCCCCCTCCCACCCTTCCTCATTTTAAGTAAGTTCTTTATGAACTGCTTTTTTATATTAAACCATTTAGGATAGTCAGGTCCATGCAAAATATGATACACTTCTCCCCTTTCCCCCCTCACTAAATACAGCCAAAATTTCTGAAAGCAATACAGGGGGAGGAGGGAGATCAATTAAACACTGAATGGTGGCGAGAAGAAGGTGGGCAAGCTAGTAACCTCAGAACTTAAGGAACAACATCACAGTGAGTTCCTGGGTTTTCTTTTGGCCTTTTCTATACCCTACACCAGGCAGGAGAAGTATATAACCCAAGATGCCAATAAAAACAAAACAACACAGAGAAAACCAACCAGAAAAGTCTGTGCTCTACAGTGAAAGGATTGGGAAAGGAACAACAGAGTGAACATAACAAAATATTTTTGACTATAAATGTCTATTTTAGCCAAATACTATAAAACCATTTCTCTTACATCAGAAGAGACAAGTGGGGAAATTAGAATTCAACCCCTATACAGCAGTAACAAAGATGTCCCCATTCCCACCTTGGAATTGCCAGGAAGGGCTAAGTGGAGAGTATGAACTTTCATCCCCCCCACCCCCCAAGTAAAAGGTATCCTCGTCTCCCCACCATGGTAGAGTTAGTGGAGACTAAATGGAGTGTCTGGAATTCAACCTCCACCTTGTAGTAATGATGGAGCTCCTCTGCTGCTGGTGCAGTGTCAGAGGAGGCCTGCTAAAATAGAACATTTAAATAAGCTCCAAAGTCTCCTACCATGATTTTCAAAATGTGCAGGATATTCACACAAAGAAAATCCCAACTTGAATAATACAATTAACAGACACCAACACAAGGCCTCCCTGGTGGCGCAGGGGTTAAAGACAGTGCTATCAAGCTATCACTTGCATGAGTTCACTCCCCTGTAGGAAGGGAGCTAACCCACATGGCACAGCCTACATCCCAATTATTGTATGCATAAATAAATAAATCTTATTTTTTTTTAAAAAAGACACTAAAAAGATGATAGTTGCAGAGTTATCTGTCAAGGAATTCAAAACAGCTATCATAAAATATTTAACTGAGCAATTATAAACACACATTAAATAAATGGAAAATCTCAGCAAAGAAACAAACATAAGCAAACAGAAATATAAAGAACCAAACAAATTTAAGAACTAACAAAAAAATATAGACAGAACAATAAATTGAAAAATGGGCTCAACAGCAAAAATGGAGATGAGAGAGTAATAAATAAGTGAACATGAAGATAAATTAACAGATCTAAACATAAAGAAATTAGATTTAAAGAAAGGAAGAGGCTCAGGAACTTGTGGGACATATCAAAAGATCCAATACTCATGTCACTGGTCAAAAGTTTATACCTACACATCTCTGTGGTCAATGGAAGTTCCTCAAAACATTCTTAAAAGAGATGCTATTTGATAAGACATTGCACTCTTCTCACCACACAAAAAAAGAGCCAATAGAAAAGCAGATTCTATCAAGTTTATTCCTGGACCAATATGAAGACCTTGGCATGGAGAAGCATATTAGTTCTTTCTAACTTTTCATCTGGTTAGAATTTTATTCCTTTCAAAGAATACATAAGGACATGAAAGTGGAACAAAGTGTATGTCATACAAGGGATAAGAAAGTCAATATCCATAAATGCACATATATAAAGGGTACATAAATCTACTGGTAAAAGTTCCATGGGCAAGTTATAGTGAAATGTTTCACTAACAGTCAACATGACTTAATCTCACAGCTACTCTAATAAATGAAAGAAACCAGATAGAAAAGAATTTATTTAGCACGATACAATTTCATTTAAATGAAGCTCTAGGGCCTCCCCGGTGGCGCAAAGGTTGAGCGCTGGGTTGCGAAGCTGCCCTCGGCCTCTGCGGCGCCGGTTCGATCCCCGGCTGCTCCCCGGCCACCAGAGGAGGGTCCCACACGGCACGCAGACCTCTCCTGCTGCCCACTGCTCCCCTCAGCAGTGTACTTCGGTCCTTCTGCCTGCTCTGCTCCCTGCTCTGGCTCTGGTGAATTCTCTCACCCTCCCGCGCTTCTGACTCTACCCAGTGCATGTATAAACAAACAAACAAATAAATAAAATAAATAAAAACATGCCTCTATTTAAAAAAAAATAAATAAATGAAGTTCTAAAACAATTTACAGTAAGAGGAAAATGAGAAAAAAGGTTGCTGTGGTAACTTTTTTTACCATATCTATTTAAACAGTGTGTCAGTTCTTCCCAATGTAGATGATAATATATTTTTTTAAAGATTTATTTATGCACACAAGAGCTGGGGTACAGGCCAGAGATGCAGGGGGTTGAGAGGATTCACAGAGACAGAGCGGGGAACAGAACAGGCAGACTGACTGAAATACACTGCCGAGCGGAGCAGTGGGCAAGTCAGGAGAGGTCTGCTTCGCTATGTGGGTTTCTCTCTGGCTGGCCAGGGATCAAACTCATGCTGCAGAGGCTGCGGATTGCTTCATAGTGTGGTGTTTAACCCCCTGCACCACCAGGGAGGCCAGATGATAATAAATTTTTTTTAATTTATTTTTTTATTTTTATATTCCCCATACAATTGCAACCGCCTTATTTTGACCCCAACCCCCCACCCCCCCCACCCCCAAAGTGTGTCTCTGGTTCATCGTTGTTTGTTGTTTTTGATTTTTTTCTTTCTTATAGTTATTCTTTTTCCTGGTCCCTTATTTAGGTTTTCTAGATTCCTGTTATGAGTGAGACCATCCGGTATTTTTCTTTTTCTTTCTGGCTTATTTCGCTGAGCATGATCCCTTCCAGCTCCATCCATGATGCTGCAAATTGCACGTGTTTACCTTTTTTGAATGCTGAGTAATATTCCATTGTGTATATGTACAACAGATGATGATAATTTTTAAGAGGGCATGTGAACAGATTGATTCAAGTGATTACTGGGAACCAGCAGGATGATAAAACTGATTCAAGAGACTGAATTAAAAGTCAGTGAAGTTAATGTCTCTTCTACCTCCCCCTTATTGAGATAACACTGGTTTATAACACTTTATATGACCTAGGGGAATAGGTTCACACAAAAAATTTTGGTGGCTGGAAGACTAATTGAGAAAGGACATAAAAGGTGATGAAAATGTTCTATACCTTGACAAGTACATGAATTTAGCAGGTGTATACATTTGTTGAAACCTAACTGCACCCTTAAATTTAGTGTGCTTTGTGTAATTGGACCTTAAAAATAAAAGAATCGTAGGTAAATATTAACTCTAGTTACGTCTCCAGTGTAGAGTGGTATGAGTATTTGTGTATTCTAGATTTGGGCAATATATTGAAGATAAGGGAGCAAGAATTCTCACTTTTGGAGAACGGAATTACTAAAAATGAAAGAACTAAAATGTGCTTTTGGTACTGGATTATAACTGGAGATAGCTTTAAGAGGGTACAGTAAAAACTATAATACTGGTTTCTATTTTTTTTAAAGATTTATTTATTTATGGATATAAGAGCTGGGGTACAGGCCAGCAATACAGGGGGAGGAGGTGAGAGGATTCACCAGAGACAGAGTGGGGAGCAGAACAGGCAGACTGACTAAGGGGAGCAATGGGCGAGACAGGAGAGGTCTGGTGAACCATGTGGGTTGCTCCTTGGTCAGCCAGGGATCGGGAATCCAATTCATGCTGCAGAAGCTGCAGATTGCTCCCCTGTGCCACCAGGGAGGCCCTAATATTGGTTTCTAAATCTCATTCTCACCAAAACAATTCAGACCTTTTAGGAAAAGAAAGCTACTTCTGAAGTTGGATCAATAAAAGTACATACCAAATCAAACCTGGTATATTTTAAGCCAGAAAGTAAGAAAAATAATTTTTTTTAAAGATTTATTTGTGTATGCAAATAAGAGCTGGGGTATAAACCAGAGATGAGGGTGTGACAGGATTCACCAGAGACAGAGTGGGGAACAGAACAGGGAGACTGACTGAAATACAGTGTTGAGGGGAGCACCAGGCAAGATATGTGGGTTTCTCCCTGGCCGGCTGGGGATCGAACTCGTGCTGCGGATGCTGCGGATTGCTTCATAGTGCAGTGCTTAACCCCGTGTGTCACCAGGGAGGCCCAAGAAAATGTTTAAAGAACAATGTGGACATATTTTTTAAAGGACACAGACGTCCTTTGGCCTAAGCTAGGCCTAAGCTAGGACAATATGAATGTAAGATACGGACTAAAACTCACCAAGCTTTAGAACACACAAGTCCATACCAATTACAATACAAATAAAGTTATTAAATCCAAAGTCTTAATTTCAGTGAAGAAGCCTGACAGACACTGCCAAATGATCACAATTATTATCATCTACATTGGGAAAAACTGACACTGGTTAAATAGATATGGTAATACGCTTAGAAGGACATAGCGTGGTCATTATGGTGGTATGTCTAACAAGAAGAAATAATTTAAACTTAATCATGAGGAAACACTAAATTCAAAAAGGAGGAAAAAGTTTATTCTTACAGTAAAATGTCAATCAGGAAACACAGGAGGAATGATAAAAATAAAAAAAAAAAATCATCAATGGAGGCAAAAACTAGGGGCTAAAAGTCTGATGATAACCTGAAAGTTAATAAAGACAAAAGAATGAGGAACTCTTCTGAATTAAAGGTGTCAAAAAAGACAGGATCATTAAATGCTAATGTATCTAGATCTGATTCTGGATTGCCCCATATAAAAAATGGGCCCAAAATACTGAAGTTGACAAACATTGACTGAAGATTAGCATTTATGTGCCAAATGAAAATCACATGGTACTTAATAATCTGTGCTAAAAACCTTACCTTTCACTAACTAAAAA